AGTTAGTACAGTTAGTACATTATAATAATTAATATAAAAATTAGTACAAGTACAGTACAAGTACAGTAGTAATTTTATCTAGTACATACAAAATTCCCAACCCTGCTCCTATATATAGTATCTGCCGGTGTAATATATCCTAGATACAGCCAAAACCTCTAAAATTTGTAAAGAACCCAAAGTACTATCGTCTGCAATATACGGTATATAAATTCAATTGTATTAAATTAAATTATAAAATATAAATAAAAAGTATATATTTAATAAGTTATTTAATAAAAACAAAATTTTATTTTTTAATTTTTAATATTATAAAATTAAATCTGATAAATTTTAATTTATTTTTATTAATTTTAATACTATTATTTAAAATAATAATATTTACAAATAATTATAAATTTATAAAAATAAAAATTATATTAAAATTAAAATTTTATGTGAGATTTGCTAGAAAAATGAGATTCCAAGACAATTTTAGAATTCCATTTTCCTAACCATTATATATTTTTAATTATATTAATTATATTAATAACTTTATTTTAATATATATAAAACAAATAATAATTATACTATAAATAATATATAAATTAAAATAATGTAAAACTAAAGTTATTAAATTATATTTTAATAATGTAAATAATTAAATAAACAAATTAAAGTATATTTTTAATAAAATATTTATTTATAATAAAGTTGAATCTTTTTTCCTTTTTATTTTTCTGTTAAAATAATTTTAAATTAAATTATTTTTATTAATTAAATAATCTATATTAAATAATTTATTAAAATATTTTATTCATTATTATTATCATTATCATTATCTTCTTCTTCTTCTTCTTCAATATCAGAAACATCTAATCCTGATGAAATTAATCTTTCTCGATATTTTTTAATATTTGCATCTTGATCTGCAAGACATATTAATAAATCCTCTTGTTCTTTTTCTAATTTTATATAATCCATTGTTTGTTTTTCAATTGTTTGTTTTAACGTTTCAATATTACTATTTAATGAATCAATTTGTTTTTCTGAGGATAATTTCTATAATTTAATAATAAATAATTATTTAAAAAAAATTTCAGTAAAAAATTGCTACCACTATAATTTTATTTAATTACCTGTAATTCTAATTGATTTTCGATTTGTTTTATTGATTCTTTTAATTGATTTATTTCCTTTTCTTGAGTTTGAATAACATCTTTATATGATATTATCATCGAAGTTGAATCATTATCACCTTGATGATCTGATCCTAAATATATAATATATTAAATCAACTTCAAATTTAACAGTAATATAATTAAGTTAAAAAATTTACCTTTGTATCCTAATGATGATTTTGCATTTGGATCCGCTCTAATCGACCTTTGAATGGTTTCTATAAGATAAATAAAATAAATAAAAATAAAGATTTAAAATAAAATTCAATACTATTTATCGTACCATAATTATTTTTAAAAAATTCTACAAAGGCATAATCAAAATATAAGTTTGGTAAGCCTTTAACCGCTGTTTCTGGTAAAATCTAAAAATTCGATAAATAAATTCTTATAATTTATTATCAAATCAATCAATTCATAACAACATAATTATTATTACCTGTAAATACTGTGTAGCGTGTTTAAAATGAGTAGATTCTCTTAATCTTGTGATACGATTGACAAATTGGTCAAACCCAATTCGACTAAGTAAAATTGGTTGAAGCGTTGATCTTTAAAAAAAAAATATTATTATTACTAAATGAGAGATTATTTTTTTTAAAAAAAAAAGCACATTTTTAAGATATACACCTTGTGATATGTGGATCTAAATTATGATTAAATTCATAACATATTCCTAATAAAAATGCACACAATCCTTGAACTATTGTATCTATTCCAGAAGATTGAGTTATTGGCGTAATTAGCTATAAAGATGATAAGCTCTGTTAATTCTTTTTTTTTTAAAAAAAAGAATTTTTAAATCATTTATTAGAAAAAATATTCATTAAATTGAAAGATACCATTTGTAAATGGACACCCTCTGATAAAAATTCTCTGATACTTATTGGACTATCCCATAACCAAACACAGAGAACACATAGGTATCCTATCAACACTCTAACGTCCGCGTTTTGTCTTGTCGCCATCATCAAATTTCCAGCAATTGAATGCAATAAAGAAACATTTTCCTCCGCATTATCATTACCATCTCCAATAAATATCGCTCGAGCTATTTCTTTTGACTTTTCATTATTCATGAGAATATGTGAGAATATTACTGAGGCAAACCATACAACATATGGATCTGCTTCTGAATCTTCCCATTCTAATAATGCCGAAAGCAATAGGGAACCAGCTGATTGAGGTTTTGCTGTAACCGAATTGTGAGAGGAATCAACATTAATAAATATTTCAAAATAAAGTTGGTTATATTTTAAATTCTTTCCAACCTGCAAATATTTCTGAATTGGGGTTGTCATCAGGTGGTGGTGTCAGTGTCGATGCTAATACAAGTTGTGCGTTAATATTGTTAAATGTATATGACTAAAAAATCAATTGAAATGGTCGTTAATTGAGGATAATATAGATACCATATTCGAATATATGTAATTTGATTTACCTCAAACGTATAAGTAGCAGCTGCACGAGTTGAATAGCTTTCTAGATGTTCCGCTCCAACTGCAACAGCAATAAGTGCCATTACAGCAGGGCGTGGAGGTAATGTAGGAATTTGATCCTGTGATGATTGGGCATTATTTCCGCTCGCCTGAGATTGATCATGTGAATCTGAAATACGATAAGATGGATGAGGGACTGTTACAACTATTCTTGCCAAAAATTCTTGACTGTTTTGATTTCCTCTTATTAGATCTGCCAAAGCATAAAGTGACTAAATTTATAATTATATAAAAATTAACGCAAATGATTGTATCGTTTTGACAATAATTCAATATTGAATTGAAAGAACACATACATGTGACTTTACTGGTGATGGGGCGTTTGAGGATAAAGCCAATTCAATAACCGGTTTTAAAACTCCACACTGAACCATCACATTCTAATTAAGCAATAGAAAATAATTAATTATATAAATAAATTAATTGATAAAAAAATTTTTTTATATCTCACCTGATTAGTTACTGTATTCATATTATTTGGAACAACTAATATCTTAATTAATTCTAATAATACAATGGTATTGACAATTTTCTGTTCATGCCACTCTTGAACTAGAAATTCAAGTTCAAATCCTTGATGTTGGAACTCTGCTGAATAGCTTAATAATGCCGGAATTCTTTGTATACAACTTGTCTCTCGGAAAAAATTCTGGATGAAAATAAAAATGTTTTAGTAAATTATTAAGAAAAAATTTTTGAATTTTTAATTTACAAACCTGATTTGAAACATTATATCGTAATAAATTATGTATCAATTGCAGACAATCCTGAACAATAATTCCGCCATTCAATCCATCCTCTTCAGAAATTATTTCCAAAAGCCTTTCAAATGCATTCTCAAATGCGACAATTTTCTGAATATCAGCATTGTTTTCAGTAAGTGATATTAACAATAATAAACCCTCTAAATATATTTTTTAAAAAAATAAATAAATTTTAATTTAAATAAAGATAAATTTTAAACAAAATATTTTCCCGCAAAAATTGACTCGCCATTTCTTATGATTTCCCTTTGATCATCTAATAGATCCATCAAACGTGAAATTCCCATAGGAGCAGTCAAAATACAGTCCTGTACATGATCTGGTCTTACAATAAGCAAAGCACGCAACAATTGTATATTATGAAAACGAACATAAAAATCATATTCTTGTAAAATATCCAAGAATAAATGTATATTTGAAGAATCCTAAATTTAAGATTGAAATTCAATTAATGATGAAACACATTGAATTCAAATTTATTAAATTTACCTTAACAATTTCATCCGTGAATTTCACGGCCACGAGATCCTAGATTAAAATTAAATTAATTAATTAAAAGAAAAAAACGAACGAATGGAATCAATAAAATTTACCTCTTGTCTGTCTGGTGTACATAGAATGTTTAATATTTCTAAAATAGCCTTTGCTGAGTCAATATCTGCTCTATCTTCGTTTAAAATATGCAAAAGAGATCCAAGACTTTTTTCTCCAACTTCCTATGCTTGTCAAATATCACGTTTAGAAAAGTTCCTTCATAATTTAAAACAGTGTATATTATATATCTATATATCTAATTATAAATCTACCTGGCGATATTCTCTCGAGAGACCTTTTAAGCCTAAAATAGCAGCACGCCTATCTTCCAATAAGGTAGAATTGATAGCACGATCAACTAGCTTTACGACAGTATCTTCAGCCGATTGAGGTTGTCCTTTTTCGCCTAATAACTCTCTATAACCTCTACTAAGAAAGTCCATTTTCTCTTTTTTTTTTTTTTTTTTTTCGCTGTTCACAGTTCAGGGAAAATAATATAATGCGAATACATCAAATCAAGAATTGGCGAGTTCGATTGGCCATCTTGAATCAAGCCACAATCCTGATTTAAGATGATCATGTGCATTACATTTATCTCGTAATTGACGAAATTGGGGTCGCTATAGCAAAGAAAATCAATGATGATTATACGCATGTTTGTTTAATTTGATACATTAAGTAACATAACATCAATACATTTATTCTTATTAGAACCTTGAAGAACCTTTACAAAGTTATTAATCTCGAGTGATATTAGGATTAAGATGAGAGAGTGGGTTAGGATGTGACACAACAAAGAAATGCTTTTCTCAAAAAAAAATTCATTATGAATATTTTTATAAGGGTCAATAAATTTACAACCACCATCAATAATTGTTATTACAATGCGATTAAATCTCATCAAAAATTTTCTCGGAATCTTTTCTTTGATTCCATAATTCTTTTATCCTATTAACGTTGATAACATCATCAATTTCCATAATGTAACCATTAATAAAATTTGATTCTACCATTTCAAAATAAATATTTCTAATCAAAACATTTTTTTCTTTGATATTATTAATCCAATCTTGACCATAAGAATTTGTTAATTCAGTTGAATCATTTTCTTCCATCTTTTCTCCTTCCTCTTTTTTGCTCTCTTGCTCCAGTTCTCTTGAAAGCTCATCTTCCGAAGAGAAGAATGAAGCAATTTTATCAGATTTCGATAAAATATAAACAGGTTTATTGAAATAACTTGCTGATAAAGCTAGAGACATTGAACCAATCTTATTTATTATATTGCCATTATTACCTAATATTCGATCAGCACCAAGTAAAACGTGAGTAACGGATGACATGAAATAATTACATGAAACATCCGTTATGACTTGTATGCAAATTGAAGATTTGGAATGAGATTGAGTGTTTGTCGATGATGGTAGAAAATTTGATAAATTCTTTGCAAGAGTCGCTCCTTCATTTAACGGACGTGATTCCATAATTGTTACGGTAAGAGATGAGGTGTTGTAACATTCCCTCGACTGAGAAGAAGAATAATTAATAAAATTTTGAATAAGTGAAGAAAGTGCAGAGTAAATTGTGGAAGAATAACTCATTGTAATAATATGAATTTTTAACGGAAGACGCGTTTCTTGCTCTCCCTGTAGTTGCTTGCTTCCAAGAGAGGGAAATAATAAATTCAAGAAATTTTCATTAATTTTTTTTTCAGATTCATTAAAGGTGGATTTTGATCGATCAATTAAATCTATTACAATACTTTCGAATTCCTCAAGAGACATTTTCCCACCATTTTTTCCTTCCTGAAGAACTTGTTTTGATCTTTTCAAAACATTAATGATACCATAAGAAATTGAAGCTTTCATATTTGGTCTAATTTGAGTTAAATGCCAACCAATATTTAACAAATTTTTCCATAGCTCCAATGTATCTTTAGAAATTGTTCTACACTCCTGACTTTCTACCGTCTTTTTCAATATATCAAGAGCTTTCATTGATAATTCTTGAGCACCGGAAGTTCTATTCTTAAATAAATCATTTAACCCTTCATGAACGCATAAAGGTAAATATACTCTATGTAATGTTTCCAATAAATTTGGTACGCATTCATAATTGATTAGTTCAGATGGATTAATCCACTTATATGCTTGATGTTCCCAATCAATTTGAATTTTATTTATTAATGTTGGGGAATTTATGTGAAACAAGAATGGATAAACTTTCCATATTATTTCTGTCAAGATCGTTAATGGTTTACCACTGCGGATGAGTGTGATGTCAGTAGAGGAAAGTGAAGTTTCTTCTCGAATTTCTTTTAATGCTCTCTCTAAGGGTGATGAATCATTGCTCTCAATTCCTCCACATACACTTGCCCAATGATTTCTTTATAAGAAAGGGAGTTATCCATTAAGCTATTTCGAAATTCAAAAAAAAACAAAAAAATAATTAAAATAATTAGCTTACTGATAAGTTCTGACTTTATCACTACGTTTCAACAACAACAATTTATTTCCTTGACTAAAAGTCTCACTTCCTTCTGTATAAGTTAAAAAGGAAGTAACTACCCTTCTTACTTTCATGGTGATGTAAATATAAAAACGATTTCGAGGGAAGAATCATTCCTTTGCACGTGATCAGCATTATTTCGATCAATGACATAGTTCTCCAATCATTCTTTAAAAAAAAACGGCTTTTTTCTATTAATGTTACTAGGGCGAGATCTTATCCCTTTTTTAAAGTAGCTCATTTCAACCAAAAAAGTATGGTGTGAAAAATATAAGAATCAATCAAATAAACGATCTACAAAAGTCAGCCCAAAATACAGGTTCGGAACGAACCTGTCCTGTAACTATAAGAGGTAGTGGTAACAGCTTGTAACTGGTTACTAAAAAATTTTTGAACCCCTGAAACTTTTTTTTTTGTGGCGTTTGTCACTTTGAAGCTTTGTAGCATATGCCCCCATATATGCGTGGATTTAGAGGTGATGGTTTTTGTTCGAATGTAACCTCAAAAAAAGGATGAACCATTTAACATCCTTAGCTTTGATCCTATTTAATAACCAAATCCATAGTAAGGTTGACTCCCAAAGCCCACTTTTTTTTGTTCATATTATAAAAAAATAAACTATTACGCCAATTTTTTTTTTTTTTTTTCGCGAAATTATTTTTTTTTTCGCGTGCAATTGAATATCTTTTATAAAGAAACGACTTTTTTTATAGGAGTCCCCAACTCTATAAGAAACTCGATCGTTCTGTCAAGCGCTCTATGTTGGATGACTTTATAAGCGATCTTCAATATTGATAATAATAATAATCATAACTTATTACAGAGCACGTTATTACTCTTTAACTTTTTGAAAAGCTTTTATTTGTGAACATGTCTGAAAAACGGTTGAAACTCGCGGTAAGAAAATCCTCCAATTTAATTGATATTTACGCGAAAGTATTTTGTAGAACGTAAAAAATATATTTTACAGGCCCAAGGACTACGCAAAACTGCTATAAGTCTACAAGCTGCAGTTGTAAGCCTTCTACAAGCTGCAGAAGCTCTTACCGCTGAGACTGACGAAGGCTTGGTAGATAATAACCCGTTAGACGTTAATCTTCAGGAACTCTTGAAAGGTAATATTAATGGGGCTCTTAGTAAATTGTTTGCTGATGCTCTCAATAACGAAGGCGAAACGCTAGACAAAGATCAAAAGGCTCAACAAAATGACAAACAGCCAGCAAATGGTGTCAAGAGATCTACACGTAAACCAAGACCGCCTCGTGACCCTAACGCACCTACGAAACCTCAGAACGCTTTCATATTGTTTCAAAAAGACGTTGCGAATTCGGTAAAGGCGGAAAATCAAGGTAAACCTTGGTCCGAAATAGTGCATCTGATAAGTACCCGTTGGAAGGCTTTACCAAGAGACGAGAAAGAAGTATTTATCTTTTTTTTTCTATTTTATTTCAAATAACAGTCATATTTAAACATTAATTTCATAATATCTTATATTATAAGGTATATGAACATCAATATGAAGCAGCTAAACAACGCTTTGAAGTCGAATATAAAGCTTATTTGGAAACTAAAGATCAAGAAGCTGCTTCATCGACAGCTGATGTTAATGGACATGAAGAAAGTAATAATAATTCGTCTAGTTCTACTACGCCAAACACGACGACATCTACACCCCCTAGTAGTGATGATGATGAAGCTAACCTTCAAACAAAAACTCGCTCATCACATTCTAAATCGAAATCAATTGTACCTATTAAAGATGAGTTGGAACCTTCTTTAAAGAAGTCCAAGAAGCGAAGATCCAATGATGATGATGGTGATGATGAAAGTGCCCATGAAGTGGAAGAAAATGAAAAATCTACTAAAAAATCAAAGAAAAGAACCTCAAACGATGAAGAACATAAAAAAATCAAGAAACACTTACGGGATGAAAAGAGCAAAGATGATTTTGACGTAGGCGAAGATGTGAAATCTGAAAGAGAAGATGGAATTGGTGAAGAATTCGAATCATCATCTAAAATGAAACATAAGAAAAGGAGCAGAAAAACCAAGAAATATTAGGGTATATTATGTTATTCTTGATCATTCCGAGTCTGTCTTCGTTATATAAGATAGTAAAAATTAAAATTTATGAAATAATCACTTAATTTTTGATACGGCGTCGAAATTATATTTTTTTTCAAAAGCCAAATTTTTCCCTTATTTTATTTTTTTCTGCCAATATATAAATATAACAAAACAAAAAAATTATCTTTTTAACTTTTGTAATTAATTTCTACTATAGAAATGAAATGTAAATATTGATTTAATTTCTACTTGCATTTGCCAATAATTTTCCATAAATAAAATTAATAACATTGGAAGAAATTTTTTTTTTTTTATAATTTTTTTGGATACGTTGTAATTTTATATCATATGATTGTAACGTGTAACGTGATTTGAATCCACGTTCAAATTTGTTCAGCCACTTCATAAGAATTTTTTTTTTTTTTTTTTTTTTTGACTTTTTGTTATTTCCGATTAACCGATTAAGGGAGAAGCTTGTTAACAATTATCTAGATACTTTTGATTGTAACTTTATTGTGTAAACTATAACGATCCGAGAAATACTTTATTTAATATGCCAACTACTGAATCTCCAAAGTCAACTGATCTCGAAATTCAAGAAAGTCAACCAGAAATGAATGAGAAGCAAGTTTCTTTGCCTTCGAAGGCTATGTTAAAAGTTAACTCTCCAAAAAATACGCCGCTAGCCTCACCTGCATTTGCGAAAAAGAACGGCGCGTCGTCTAAAAAGAGACCACTTGATCCTCAAGAACTTAACAATATGATTCAGAGCAAAATCTCTCAACTTGAAACTGAATCGTCAATTGATGAAGAGGAGGAAAAGGCTTTCGGTAAAATAATTAATTATTTATTGTTCCTTAGTATTAATTATATAGATTTAATTCATAATTATTTAATTATTTTTTTTTTTTTAAAAAAAATGTTTTTGTCTAATGATCTAATTTTTTATTTTTCATCATTGACAGCTAAAGCCGTAAAAAAGGCAAGCAGGGAAATGAAAGACATCATTAATTCTCACGATGATCAAATGGAAAAATTTGATACTATACAGCAAAGGTACATGGAATTGGTAAGTCATGAAAATTATTTAGTTGTCAAATTGATTTTTATTTTTTAACCTATTTGAGAAAATCGCTTTAATATATTCGATTGCATAGTTTCAAGATATGAAACGTCTTGAGCGAGATCATGCAAAAATGAAGAAGCGTAATGAACAATTACAAAAAGAGAAAGATGCTGGTATATATATTTTTTATCGCTAACCAAGTTTCTTTATAATCGATTTTAATTATATCCATGAATAATAGTCATATTTTGTAAATTTCTCTTTAGCAAAAAGTGATCTGTCTAAAACGAATTCAATGAAACATAAGTTGGAGAATATATGTCGAGAATTACAAAAAGAAAACAAACGTATTAAGGTTTGAGATTTGTATTCTTTCATTATTATAATGTTATTGAAGGATATTAAAATTTATTAGTTAGACTCATCAATCTTTTCTTTTATCATTAGGAGGAAAGCAAACGCTTGGCCGCTAGTGAACAACAGAAACGCGAAGAATTATCAAGCAAATTTGAGAACACCATCTGGGAGATCAAATCTAAGATGGAAGAGGATACTGATGAGAAAAAAAAACGTGCGGAGGATAGTGAATTGTTAGTAATTTATTATTAGCACAAAAATTATTTTTTTTTAATTTTTGAATTCCCAATTACGTATATTGTTTATTTTAATAGATTAAAAGATAAGTTCCGCAGTTTCTTAGAACAATACGAACTCCGTGAAAAACATTTTGATAGTGTAGTTCGATCTAAGGATTTGGAATTGCAGTTGTATGAAGCGAAGTTACAACAGCAAAAGCAACTAACTGAACAAGAAAATATAAAGGTTAGAGGATTATTTTAATTTTAATTTGAGATGATTCATATTTATAAATAGTTATTTGTCGTTCGATAGGTAAATTCATTAAAGGAGCAAGTTGAAACCTTTACTAAAACGGAAGCTGAACTACGTAAACAGCTAAACGTATACGTGGAAAAGTTTAAACAAGTTGAAGAAACTCTAAATAAAAGCAATGAGCTTTTCCTTAACTTTCGCAAAGAAATGGAACAGGTTTGATTATTTTGTTCGTGATTTATCAGTTTTAAACAGATGCATTTATATTACTCTCTTATAGGCGTTTTATACCGTAGATGACCAAAAAAACGAAGAAACTTGAAAAAGAAAATTCGTCTATCAAAGGGAAATGTGACACAATGAATAAGAACATTTTAGAGATGGCCGAAGAGGTATTATATATTTAATGATTGTTTTTATATAAATTATTTGAGAAATCGTGGCGCGTGTTGTCAATAATATGATCTTTCGTATTATTATTATCATCATTATCATTATCGTCCTTTTATTATACTATTATTATTATTTGTTAATAATTATGTGGAATTTGGTTGAAGATATGCTAATATATCAATTACGAATCAACATTTTTTTCGGCACATCGCTATACATAAGCGGGCAAGGGATCAGAAGACTATAGAGGATTCAAAGAAAAAGCAGTCAAAATTGGAAAATTTGTGCAGAGCATTACAAGTATATTTTTTCCTTTCATTTAAATTCTTATCGTAATTTTCGTATAGTTGTAAATAATTTTTTTTTGTTGTTAAATCTAGGCAGAAAGGGCAGTTCTTAAGAAAAAAGTAGAATCTTTTGAATTGACACCTATTCAACTTCCCAACACACCTATTTTTTCAACATGTGATGAAGAAGTCGATGAAGGCTCAAGTGATTATGGATCTACAGAAGATACGGTACCTTGTAAATGCATGGAAAATAATGGAGAAGTTTCCGAAGCTCCAGTACAATGTTTCTGTGCAATAGATCAAGAATGTTTTGAGGAAGTTGGGCAAAAATTAGAGGTCTCTAATGAACCCGATTTAGAAACCGATAGAGTTATAAAAGGTGGTGAATTGATTAACTAATAAATCTAGTCGAGATTTTCAATGAAATTTATGTTAGATGAGTGGTTTTGTTCGTCCGATCTATTTATTAGTGACTGTGTCACTTTTATACTTTAGGACTAGTATCATCAGTTATTATATGTTATGATAATAATTTATCGTCATTAGACTGTTCCTTTTTGATTACAACCAACTACTTATCAGTTATACAAATAGAAAAAAAAAATCATCGAAGATTATTTCCTGTGGAATTTTTTAGGTATTTACCAAGTTATAAACTTTTTATAGTAAATATCAGAAAATTTTGCTATCCTTGTTGTTTTTATGAGATACCATAAACCATGGAAACTTTATTAATTGTATTAAAAAGGTTTTAAAAAATATAATTTTTTTTTTTTTAAATTATTATCTCATCTATTTCCAATTTTATCATCTCCGAATTTATTTCTCGTTATTCATTTATTATTTTTTAGAGAATAAATCATTAAGGATTTATAAGGTGGGTGAATTACTGAATCGATATAATATCTAGATTTTTCTCTCGCGTATACTACTACGTAATGTAATAATATGGGATTGATTGATTTCCTAAATTAAAAACAAGTTAATACCCTGCAGCTCCACGTGCTATTGTTTCTAATGTTGAAGAATGAAGCCAATCGCTAGGAATAGTTTCAAGTATCTAAACAAATTTAAACGATAAATCAAAATATAAATATTTTAAATTATGATATAAGAAAGATTAAACGTTAATCCTTACCTTTTGATACTTTTCACGATCTGTTTTTAACGATGAATTCTTTAAAATATGTAATAAATATCGATTAAGTAAATGATCAATGGATAACGATCGAATTATATCAATAGGAACGAATTCTTTCCACATTATAAGGCTTTTCAGCAGCTATTTAAATAAATAAGAAAGGATTCATATAAATGATGTAAACATGAATAGATACTTTAGACATGAAGGTACATTTTATCTAACCTTGTATTTGCGGCAAAAATAACGATTTCGTGTTACTGAGCTAGAATCATTTAAATCTGATAATTTTATATTTATATTTTCAGGTATTATTTCAAGAGACTCAACTACATTCTGAAGACGTGCTGATACCGTAATAATTATCTCCTAAAGATATAGATAGATAGATAGATAGGTAGGTAGGATTAATAAAAAAATAAAAATTGTGTAAAGTAATAAGTCAAAGAAAATACTTCATTAAAAATTTACTTGAAATCTTTGGGAATTACTATCTACATATTTTAATGTCTTTTTTAAAAAATCAACGAGAGATTTTGTCTGCCGTGAGGAATATGGATTCAGAGTTTTCATTAAATGCACTATCCTAGGTAACACTATCTTTTCAAGAACTTTGGTCAAGACAGTAAAATCTTCATCATCTGTTTCCATTTGATTTTTACTCGATTCAGCAGAATATTCAGAAATAACTTTATACCATTCCATATCATTTATATCATTAATCTAAATTAAAACTTATGTTAAATATGATTAATTGTGATATAAAAGTAATAACACGGCATATCATTATACCTTTAATGCGTTACATAACATCATTTCATATCTAACGTAAAACTCAAATACACCCGGTAAACTTAAACCGCCATAAGCTTTTGTATAATCGTTATTAAATTCAGTTTTCCATGATACAAATTTAGACTTGACTAATGCAATTGATTTAAATTCCTCAATAACATCATCAAATAGACTGGTACGTTTATAAGAAATTTCATCTATAAATAAACAAAGAATAAATAAAAATATTTTTATTTTATTACGATAATTAAGAAAATAATATACAAGAAAAATTGAAACCTATTTTTCCATAAATTTCTTTTTCTATTTCTTTATCATAAAGTTCTTCATCGGTAGAAAACCCTTCTTCATTAATTTCTTCAGGCCGGTAACTATATCGAATCTGTCGTCTATAATGACGTCTTTGCTGTCTTTGCTCGCAAGACAAATCATCTTCTAAGTTGATATTATTTCATGTTATTTACAAATTTATAATAATTTCTCTTCAATAATTGTAATAAATTTACACTTACTAATACTTATATTGGCAAACACGGCGATATCATCAGAATCTTCTTCCATAATTCTTTGTAGAATAAGCTGAGACTTTTTAGTAAGTACTTCCAGGTAATCATTTTCGAGTTCCTCTAGTGTTGGAAACTAATATATCATATATAAGAAAAAAAAATATTCGAATATTTTCGATGTTGTTATTAAATTATTATTTACCTTATCATCAAGAAATTCCACAAGATTCTCGACAAATGTTTTAAGATCTTGAAAGTAATTATATCGATTTTTCGTATTTTGCATCTCAATCTCTATTTGTGCATTCGAAGACGTAAGGTTGTCGATGTCTTTTTGAATTTGGATGAGTTCTGCTTGATGATTACTATGCATTACTTGTAGATCCATCAATTGACTTTCAAGGCTCGATTGAACCTCATTTAACGTAGGTACATGAACAATGATGGGAACTATAAAAATAGATGGATTAAACCATGTAGAAATAAAAATAATTACATAACATAAATAACAAATATTTACTTCTAGCCCTCACAATCGGTTGTGTTTTATCGAATTTTCGTTTCGAAGACTTTTTAGGATTGTGTCCACCTGCTTTCATGGCTTCAAACTCTCGCTGCAATAATTCAACATCCTCTTCCTCAAAATTTCTATCATAAAAGTGAAGATATTATAATTAACTATAGAATCCCCAAAATTTATCAGTATATACACATACACATCCATGATCATTTCTTCAATGTCCTCTTTTTTAAGTCGTTCTTGTTCTCTTTTGGCCTTTTTTCCAATAGCCAATTTTTCGTTCAGATATTGTTCGAGTTCTATAAATTCATTAAAAGGCTTATTTTTAGTTTTAAGCTACATTCTTTTGTTAATAATCTACAAGATATTATCGTTATAGTATTTGCGTTGTTCTGATTGGATTTGTCAACAACGACTATCATGGCCGAATACTCCCAATCCGAGTTTAGAATTTGACAAATTTATCAACTTGTGCACTATAATGATTAACTTACAATTCTTATAATGATAATACATATAGACCATGGAACTAACCTTCATCTGCTTCACCCAACTCGTCCTCTTCTCGAACTAATCTTGACTCCATTTTTTTGCCTGATGAAGCTATAACCTATTCAAATATTATGATAAATTCCATATATATAATAATAATAAGCATAATTTATAAAATTAATTACATCTGTGTCCTCTGATAATGGAATATAATCTAAAATACTGGATAGTCCTTTCTTTCGTCGCATCTCTCTTTCTTTTTTAGCAGCATTAATAGCTCCAGCATCGGGTATATCAAAGTTAGGATCTGAAAAGAAACAATGAGAGATGAATTAAAACAGAACCATCTATTTAATTTTAAATATTTCTATACCAAGAGTCAATGGAAACTTTTCTCCAAGATTATCTTGAGATTGAAATGAGGCTGGTGTTGCTGGAGTATTGGCACGTAATTCTGATAAAATTTCTTCGGTATAGGAAGATGCGATTATTGGATCTGAATTTTGAGGAATCGGTTTACTAATAAAAAAATAAAAAACATCCTATATGTTAGAATTAAGAATATTTAGAAAGTAAATAATTTCAAGAGAGGCACTAAACTGATCAAGATGAAGTTTTTTGGATTTTGATTTCGTGAGCCGACGACTCGCTGCACTCTTTGTTATTTTAAAGGCTTCTTCTTGTTCTTCCTATAAACGATCAAAAAAATTTGCTTCAAATAGTTAAATAATAAGAGTTGGACCGTTGTCAAAATTGTCAAAAGTGTTTAAAAAAATAATGTTGTACTTTTAAATAATGAACATGCCTCATCGATTCCAAAACTAAGGGTAACTTTTGTCTTTCCTTTAACTATTTTCTTTTGATCCTTTTCTATTTCCGAATTTACATCAGGTATGGAAGAACCTATGAATAATAATTTAATAAGAACTTAATGAAATTTAGTTTAATCTTCACATAATCTTTAAAAAACTGCACCAAACCTGTATCAATGCTGATTTCCTCTTCATTAATTTTAGTACGAGTACTTTTTGCCCTTTTTTTGAACATTTTAATAATTAATCAACAGTATATTATAATAAAAGGGAACCTCAAATATGAAAGTATTTGAATTTTAAAGAGTAAAGTTAAAAATATCTAAAACTAGATCTAAACGCGCAAAAAACATCGACAGTTTGTAGTTTGACTTTTTTTTATGGTGGTCTGTGCGTGACTGCGGTTACAGTTAGTGTAACCGGTTTTTTTTTGTTAAATGGATATTTTCACATTTTTTTTTATTGATCACCATCAAAAAATGCAAAAACGACAATATACTCCTCTCCCAACTATCACTCCTTCACCAAGTTCTCCTCAGCAAAGACATGGAGTAAGTAATCCCCAACTCGAACCTCAGATCCTTGGCAGACAACGTACGAAGGGAAAGCAGCCAAATAGAACGACAAAAACTTCTCAAAAGCTTAAGTTGTTCCCTGCAGAACAAGAATCTGCTCCTCCTGCTGAAACGAATGAAACTTATAACCAAATTGGACAATTACCTAAAGGTACTGCTCGAATTGAAGCAGAAAAATTCAGTAAACAAGAGAGGCTTCTACTTCCTCGAGTAACCGCCTACTGCACTGCCTCGTAAGTTTAATACATACATAGTATATTTATGTTAAAATTTTAATTATACAAAAATTTAAATGTTATACCTTTAGAGCTTATCGGTTAGATGAGTTATTCAAGAATCTCCAAAGTCGAAAATCAATAAACGGGTCTATGCCTAAACGTTTTGATGAATGGTAAGGTCAAGATAGAAGAGTATTATCGAGAATTACTTGGCAAAAAGATTCTGATCCTTGTATCTCATAATTTTAGTATTTACACTCCATTTACCTTCAAGACACCTAAACCGCCTGTTGCTGATCTTTTAGGACTCGAAGACCCATCATTTTCACCTCTTTTACAAGAGCATATCTCTGAAGTTTTCTTCTTTGAATACGGCGTCGTAGTGATATGGGGTATGAAAGAAGACGAGGAGAAGGATTTATTGCGAGAACTTATTCCATTTGAAGACGAAAAATTGGGTGAGAAATTATTTATATTTTTTATGTTGTAATATTGTGTGCATAAAATACAAATTTTTTCGTTTTAACATTGTTTAAATTTGATAGGTTCCGAAGATGTTGAAACCGAAGAATTTCATTATCACTACGCTGCATCATATCAACCAAGGTAATATGTTACTAACATAATATTTTTGTTTAATGATTGTATTATTGCCTTTTAATTAAATGTCATGAGATTACCTCAGAATTTATAATGATGTGATAACTCTTAAAAATGCCGGTAATTATATGGTCAAACTTACAATATCTCATGCTATTGCACAATCCGTAAAAATGACTTTATTTGAAGGATTGATTGAAGAAACAATTGAAGCGACTAAACATATCCCACAAACTATGGCTGAAACTGGAAAAGTTCAAATGTCCAGGTTTGTTGCTATAACGAATATTTGTAATATTTATTAATTCATCTAATTATATTTTTTTTTTTTTTGTTCTTTTTTTCGCGTAAATTTTTAGAACGGCCATTACCAAGAAAATCGGGCAGGTAATATTCAAGTTTTATACTAAAGATAAATCATTATGCTGCTAATGTTGATTTACTTATGAATATTCTGTTCTAAATAGCTGTTCATTATGAGAATCAACGTAAATTTGGTTAGTAACATTTTAGATAGTCCAGAAATATTTTGGTCAGAACCCTCATATGAGCCTTTGTATACAGCCATAAGAGGTAAGAAAGAAATCTCTATCAATATATTCACATTTATATAATGTGCGTTTATTTATTAACAAAGTGATGCTTTGAAGGTTATCTTGAGATTTCGCAACGCGTAGAATTATTAAATCAAAGAGTAGCCGTAATAAGTATGCTGAATTGATTTTTTATTTTCGGTGCAGATCAAATGCTTATAAATACTCAACTACTGTTACTTCAATAGGTGATCTTTTGGACATGCTTAAAGAGCATTTGACGAGTTCTCACGGTTTGTGAATTACTTTATGAACGATTAAATTAATCAATACTCGTGTTTTAATGATATTTTTATTGCTGAACTACAGGCGAACAACTTGAATGGATTGTCATTGTTCTAATTGGTAAGTATGGCCTGGGTGATAAAATGTTTAAATATTTGATTAATTTTTAAATGTATTTTTTTTAATTGTATTTAGCTTTTGAAATCATCATCGGAGTAATAACAATATGTATAGACGCTTTTGCATATTCTCAAAAAGAAATTCCTTAAAAATTGTAGATAGACTGTACTTTATTATAGAATATATTTTGTTTCGTTTAAAATTATTGTGCATAATTAGGACTCATCTACTTTTTAATTATTGTAATAAGTTTTGCTAAAACAATGTATAACTTTGTTAAATAAAGGCCTATAATGTTTTTAAGCTTTTATTGCTCAGTTTTTTTTAAATGTTCCATCTTGGTTGTTTCCACCGGGGACCTATAAAATATTCACAAAAATGAGTGAGAATCACTTGCATTAATAAAATGGAAAAATGGAAAATTACCCAATGAAACGCAATTCCTTGATGATGGTTTTCTCTTCGTCTCCGAGATTATCTTGTACAAATAACTAACAATAGTATATTGTATCAAATATTTATTCGTAGAATAAAAATAAAAAATAAAAAATATGCATATAATTGTAAAGATAAAACCTACAGAAATATTTGTGATACATTGAAACTTAACAAATCTTAAAGCTATAATTGCATTTTCTTCATAATGCGTTTCATCCAATTCGAGGGTTTGTGTCTCTCTAATTGAATCAACCTCATCAAATCCAAGGTTCAATCTGTTGGCGTAAATCTTGATTGTCTTTGGAGCATGTTCTTATATATATAGAAAGAGAGAGAGAGAGAGAGCAATGAAATAATGAGTATTAAAATTTTTACATTAAGAATCATCTTAAATACCAATATCTTTCGCAACAATTTTTAGAGAATGGATTTTGACGGCTTGATTGAAAGGTACGGAAATCAAAAGTTGTTCATCTACATCAGATTCCAAATATGTATTGTCTTTATTAAAGATATTTCTAATGCCATGATTCTCTTGTTGATTAAGACAATCAACTTGATTCAGTGTGATGAATTCATGGATATCTGTCTTTAAATCAAATCAAATTTAAGAAAAACGAAAGTGCAAAAAAAAAAAAAAAAATTAAATTACATTAATAAAATAATACTGGATTTATAAATTATTTCACTTACATGACCATGAACGCTTAAATTGCTTGATCCACTTTCTTCAGGAGTTCCCGCATGTTGCTCAACCAAAAGCCTGAGCCCTTCTGGATTAGCACCTGTTAATTTTGCAATTTCGATTCCATTTTTATAAAATTTAAAAGTTGGCCTAAATAATAATATGTATAATTCGCGTTAGCTGCTAATTAATATAATTAATACCAGTTAGAAACTTAACATAGAAGGAAGGTCCAATTACATTGAAGTAACACCCTCTTTATTCGATACTTCTCTGACTTGGTCAACATCGACCTAAAAAAAATAAAAATGAGAACAGAACTCCAATCGGAACCCGTAATATTTCAAAAAAAGTTGATTCTTACTTTTGCAAAATTAACATGCCTATATCTAGTACTCAATTGTTGATATACTGGAGCGATCGCATGACATGGTCCACACATTACGGAGTGAAAATCGACAACTGTCTGTAATTTAACGTCCAGTAAAAGTTAATATAGAGAAAATCTATAGTGAAATATTGCAAAAACATACCAATTTTGGCGACGCAATAAGTTCATTGAATTGGGCTAAATTAGAAACGGTTTTAATGTAAGACATGTTTGTTTATTAAAAGTCTGGAAAATTCAGTTTGTCAAAACTTAATTCATTCTGTAAGGAAAAAAAAGGGTGATTTGTGTGATTTTCATGCTAGCCTGATTTAGCTGTTGTCTGAACTCACACCACAACCGCTCACGAGACCAATTTTATTTTTTCTATCGCGAACTCGGACCTAATATTATTTTTTATTTTTATCGTTAATTTATACAAAATACCTAAGATTCGAACGATTATGGCATCCCAAGCGGCCGCTTCACAGTCTACTCTCCTTCTTCAAAAACAGCTTAAAGGTAATGACTGTTTTGACCATTTCCTTTGGGTTTATTTTGTGAAAGCTAGCTTATTCATCATATCTTATAAATCAGAACTGTCAAAGCATCCTGTAGAAGGATTTTCGGCAGGACTTGCTGACAATGACAACATTTATGAGGTATGATTGAACTTTCTTTTGTTTATTTATTATTTTTAATACTCGAGTTGATTTTGAATCCTTCCTTGTAAGGTATGAGATTTTAATAGGTCTAAAGGTTTAGAAGTATATACGTTTATGCTGAAGCTTTTATTATTTTAAAGTGGGAAATTATGATTATTGGGCCACAAGACACATTATAGTAAGTTGAACAAATGATGCGAGAATCGTATGATAATTAGTATCTTATAATGTTTTCTTAATATCTAGTGAGGGTGGATTTTTTAGAGCAAGAATGTCGTTTCCTAAGGCAAGTATCACTTTAAGTGTTCTTTAGATATATCAATGGTACAATAATCTTATGCATTAGTAATCTTCATTGTTTAAATTAGGAATATCCATTGATGCCCCCAAAACTGAAATTCATATCTGATATGTGGCATCCTAATGGTATGTGAATAAATTATTTAATTGCGTTAACTATCTTCTCACATATTTCATCTATGTTAGTTTATCCTGACGGTGAAGTCTGTATTTCTATTTTGGTAAGAATTACATTAATATATATTATATATTTATTTAAATTTTATATTCAAAATTAACCTCGAATCTTCCATTAGCACCCCCCTGGTGAAGATAAATATGGTTACGAGGACGCGGGTGAAAGATGGATGCCAGTGCATACAGTTGAAACAATTTTGTTGAGTGTTATCTCAATGCTTTCAACTCCTAATGATGAATCCCCCGCCAACATTGAAGCTGCTGTGAGACATTTGTTACTGAATTCAAATAATGTGTATCGTACGCTAAATCCCTTTATATCTGATCTGTTTTTTTTCTTCCTATAGAAAGAATGGCGTGAAGATTATTCGACATTCAAGAAAAAGATCCAGCGTATAGTCCGACGATCAGCCGATATGTTATAGAAAAGACAGATTCATAGAAATTCTTTTTACATATTTTATCTCTCTCTCTTTAATGTTTATGTTAGATAACGTAAATAATTAGCATTCATTAAGTCCATTATATTATTTTAATAATTTTTTATTTTTGGTTTTTTGTTGAAGTTTTCTAATAAAAAAAGCGCGTCTTCAAATTTAACCTAAACTTCCTCTAAAAAAAGTCCTAATCTATTCGACCCATCGATAGCTAATTCCCCTAGCTAATTAAACCTTTTGAAAATAATGAAAAAGTTATTTATGAGTTGTTGCCACGAAAACGCGTTCGCATATCAAGCTACGTTTGGATAAAGGTTAGCATCTCATCTTTCAAAATAAAATCTAAATTAGAAAGATTTAAAAGTTAACGCTTACCAAACCTCTTCGACATTCAAAAAAACTCTTTCGAATGCTTTGACATTCAATGGGAACATCATTAGCATGTTCTGGCTGTAAGCATTCTAAACGAAAAAAGCTCATTAAAATTTGATTTAATAAATGAAATGGCCATTTTCGAAAAAAAAAATAAATAAATTTATTATTATTAAATAAATGGAAAGGTTTAAAAAGAAATGGCCAACCCTTGACAGTATGTCGTTTTATAAGAACACAGTCTGATTTAAGAATACAATTAACAAGTTCTTGACGTATCCCTTTACAAGAAGGCATTTTTTTTTTTTTTTTTTTAAAAAAAAAAAAAAAAAAAAAAAAAAAACGCGAAAAAAATGTTCCGATATTTTATGCAGAAAAAAAAAAGTAAAGTCACAAGACTTTCCTCAAATATCACATGATTGATTATCTTGGCAATTTACCAGATGTTAAATTCCAAAGCATGACGCATGATACTATTACATAAAATTCAAAGCTTTTTCTTTCTCCAAATTTATAAAAAATAACAATTTATTCAAAATGATGGTATAGTAAAAAGTTTTGTACTTCTACATTGTATTTCTCGTAGATGTAACAATTGACGTCTTGAACGACATATTTACTTAACAATATTACTGTTTATTAGGAAATGTTGTTTGGTCGTCAAAAAACCCCAGCTGAGTTGCTGCGGCAACATCAACGTTCTCTTCAGAAAGCACAACGCGAAATGGATCGTGAAAAGGCAAAACTTGACGCTTCTGAAAAAAAATTGATAGCAGATATAAAAAAGGCAGCTAGAGCAAATCAAATGGTATTGTTATCAATAGTAACTTTTGCAAAACAAAGTATCTTTTTTTCTTATCATTTTTCATTATACATGATTTCTTAATGATAGGCAGCTTGTAAAATTATGGCCAAAGATCTTGTTAGGACTCGACGATACTCTCAAAAGTTTCAAGCAATGAAAACTCAACTTCAAGCTGTTTCATTGCGAATTCAGGTAATTTTCATTCAATTAATTCGTGACTATTTTTATTTACATTTGTTCCATTCATCATCATATTATCATTTACAGACTCTAAGATCTAATCAACAAATGTCTGAAGCTATGAAAGGGGCAACAAGGGTAAGTTCAACTGAGGGATGATCATATCAATTATTATTTTATCAATTATTTACATAAAAGTATATACACTATTTATAGGCTATGAAATCTATGAATCGGCAAATGAACCTGCCAGCGATGCAAAAGATTATGATGGAATTTGAGAAAGAATCCGAGATTATGGATATGAAAGAAGAGATGATGAATGATGTCATTGACGACACTATGGCAGAGGAGGAGGATGAAGAGGAAAGCGATGAAATTGTGAATCAAGTTTTGGACGAGATTGGTATTAGTTTGGATCAATCGGTATGTTGCATTTCTTTAGTAAATAAAATCTTACCACTACCTCTAAGGATTTCTCTTGATTCTTATCGAATAATTTATTCATTTCACCTTTTTAAAATTTTAGCTGGTTGACACACCAAGTTCAATTGAGAGAGTCTCACAAAAAGAACATACTGAGGAATTGGAGTCTAGTAATGACGCGGCCTTGCAGGCAAGGCTGAATAATTTACGTAGAGAGTAATAAATGATTACTATAATTTTCATAATTCATCATATAATAACTCTGTTGGTTAGCATGATAATCTTCCATCGTTCAATTCTAAAGAAAACAACTAATGTGTTGTTGTGACACCATAGTTTTCTTTGAAGTTTGTAAAATATTTTATCGTATTGAATTCTGTAATACTTCTGATAATTAAATATCTAGAAATCTTCTAATGCATAATTGATGAAAGACGTGTTTTAGGAAAGTCTTTTTTTTTTTCAGACATTCTGCAGATCAGCTGATTACATACAAGTCACAGATTAGGAAAATTTTTCTAATTTAATTTTTTTTTTTTATATATAAAATTAAAATTTCAATCATGTACTGTAGTGTTTATTTTAATATTCTTGACATGAAACCTGTATACAAATTTTTTTTGTCGTAATTTTTTGACCCTAGTTTAAACAAAAAACATAGCATTTGCCAATCCATTCTTGACTTCTTCAATTGATCCAACACTAATTCCGCTTTCTCTGCTGTTGTCTGATCCACTCTCTCCTCCCCAACGATAATAATGCTTCGCGCGATTAGCAATCAGATGAGCGTAGTAAACTGGTGGAACCAATGAAATTGAAAGCGTACACCTTTTAAAAAAAATAAATTACTTTAATTTTGTCTGAAAATTATGAATTTAATCCTGTTGAAAATGTAAATGAGACGACCAACCTAGCAGATAGATAACATAATCGGTAGGTTAATGTTTGGATTTCGTCTGCAGAGAAATTATTTTCATCATAAAGAACGTTATAACGAATTGGTCGGGATGTTCCTTGCAGGCTGGAATGAGATTGCAAGACTGAAATTCGTAGAAGGTTACAACATTAATAATGGAATAAAGTGATTATATAAAAAAAGTTATTTTTTTTTTTTTTGCTTACAGAAATCGAACCCTTGTTGAACAAGGATTGTCGTGTCAACAACCGTCCCCGGACGACAATTCCCCAATTTATCTCCATCGTGTGATTCGGTTGGCATAAATCTGTCATAAAAGAATAGTTAATCATTTTGCAGTAATTTTAATTTAAATATAAATATTTACCTAGTATGATGTCTTTTTTGAACTATGATACTATAAATAAGTATTAGCGTTAGTAAACAATTCGAAGATTGTACATAAAAGGTAATTAGTACTTACAATGTTAATTTAGGTCCGGAATTCCTGTAAATACTAGCAAAGACTTCTTTAAGCGCTTTTACTTCGTAGTTCAATACGTGTTGAAATTGATTCTCACCAACTCCATCCCGATAAAACAAAATTTTTTTTGGCAAATCTTGATTTTTCAAGTAAAATACACGAAGTAAATCTATTACTATTCCTCTGAGGTCTTCGATAATTTCATTTCGAGGATCCTTGTTAACACTAAACCTTCCAGTATATTTTGTAGCTTTTGAATCCATTGTAGCACAAACAGCTGCAATACTTGGTCTTTGATCCCCTTTACCAGAATGGAAAACGTCAGCACCAAATATCATTGTTGGTTCTGATGATACAAAATTAATCTGATCATTGGACAACATTACATTTCTTCCGCCCAATTTTGCATTCATTTTCAATGTAATGTTTGCACAAATTTGATCCATTCCACCTGTTTTTGTTAATAATTTGAGTAAAACGCATTGAGTTGGAATACCTAATTGTGTATCTCCAATTCTTTTAATTTCTCCATATAATGGTCCCGATTCTCCTAAAATACACATAATAATATGTGGAGGGTAATCCTTGTTGATTAGTGAGTTGTGACATGCAATGCTCAACGCCGAAGCAATGTCACCAAGAGGATTCGAATACATAATGTAAGGTTCACTCGAGATGTTCATTCCTTTTCGATTGGCCATTTCACGAAATCGTTTCATGAATGTTCTCACTAATTGTTGCGGGGCGAAACGTTCTCGAGCAAAAACAACCACGGACCAGTTTATTAAAGTAGCACCCTAAGAAGATAATGTTAGTGAACTTAATTATCATACGTTTCACGAAAATAAAAACTAACCTGACAAACGACTTTATTCATAATGTTCCAACGTCCATTTTCAGGAGTAAATTCTGGTTGTTGTATTTGTTCACTATAAGTTAAACGAGGAGGATCAAGTACACGTCCTAAAAATTTTAAAGAACAGAATTTAGAATTGTTCGAAACTAGTAAATTGCTCAAAAATTATATGAAAAAAAAAAAGATTTATAAAAACCATTAAGGACCACCATTTTGCTGCAGTCAACTTTCATGCCGATTGACTCGAGGTGTGAATCTTTATCATGTTGGAAAATGGTTGATATAGCATTCGAGATTCGTTGAAATCTTTCTTGAGGCTTTACACATGTATGTTTGATCATATCGGCGAGCGTAACGTCTGCCAATCGACCTTCGAAGCGTTGGTCTAGCGTTTTATCATCAATTAAAATTAAATTTAATCACGTTCGAACGTGTTAGTCTCGTGAAGTCTAATTAACTTACTTGGCAGAACATAACAGAGTTCAATGGGAAAGAAAACGTTCCGATTAACCAGCACGCATGGTAGATTTGGGAATACTAGTTTAATTTTATATGTATTATAAAAATATTCGGCAACAGACATATCTCTGTTCTCTCCTTCGTTATGGAACATAAGTTTATCTGCCGGCTCTTTCGTAACGCGTCGGATTTTATACATAGATTTTCGATTGCGATTGTGTATTGCTTCGATATTTACATTTTTTAGGTACTGCGGTTTAGAACAAATTTTTTTTTTTAAAAAAAAGGAAATAAAGATAAAAAACTTGTGCATAGTGGTGACTTTAAACGTTAAGTTAGTATGATTTACCCATGATAAAACATTTATTTCACGATTATTCATTCCTTGAACATGCAGTTCTTGTGCATTACGTTTCAACAAATGTTTGCATATCACCTAAAGGAAATGAACAATATCATTTAATATTGGAAAACGTTCGATGAGAAACAAACAAATCTTAATATACCTCAATTAAAAGACCAAAAGGGAAAAAAATTGCTGCGCAAAGATCAACATTAATGTATAAATCGCCTCAACGAAAAAAAAAAATGCATTTTGTTGATTAAAATAAGAAATGAATTGAAAAAAAAAAAAAGCTCAATCTTTTATTTATTAAATAAAATTACCCCATCCAGGACGTAATGATTGATAAAATCCTTGCTTCAATTCAACGCCTCCTGATAAGATTATTATTTGATTATTGGGAGGATAAATACCTTTGCCGGCCGTGAGGTATTTCTGACGAGTATTAAAGTTGATATACGAGTTCAATGCAGATAAACACTGAATAACCGAACTAGTTATTGGTCCTTGATTTGTAATGTAATTCCTAAGTTGATCAAGGCTTAAGCATTGTATAAATTGAATCGTAACTTCATAAGATTTCCTTGCAATCCCATCGCCATTGCTTTGTACGGTAATCTGTTTTTTATTTATATAATCAAAAATAAATCGATGAATTTCAATGAGGTAAATAAATCATGTAATTAGTTTTTTTTTTTACCATGGAACCATTTCCTTTTCGTTCATTTATTAAAGTTAAAGGTAAGGCAGAATAAATCGAGGAATTTCCATCAAACACGGCAAAGAAATTTTCGAAACCGTTCTTATCAGCGAAGGTAGAATAAATCTTATCGATAGTTTGTTTATTAACCTTAAGAGAAACATCGAAGCTATATTGATATAATAAAATATCCGGAAACTAAACGAGAAAATTCACTTGTTAACGTTGTTAACGATGATCCAAAAAGTTATATTTAATCATTTACTTTCTTGACTTTAAGGTAGTTAGTTATCAGTTTAACTTTCCGGCCTTCTTTTCCAATATTAGGTCTTTGGGCTATCCTAAGTTCAAGATCTGAGCTTTGAAGGTTCATACTTCTCAATCTTTCTTCGATTTCCACTATCGGACAAAAAAAATTTGGAATAGTCTTTAGGGGAAACCGCACATCCGATTTTAATGAGAAATCTTTATCGTTACTTACAAGATAATTTACTTTTACGAACGAGTTGAACGTAGATAAAATAAAGACAAAAAAAAAAAAAATAAAAGTCGTTTGAAGGGTAAAATCTAGTATATTTAATTAAATGTTCGATTACACCATTTTCTAAGAAATCTATAAATAATTATGTCATTCATCTATCGAATAATGTATTAACACGAGATTGTTCTCAATGAAACTTATGCTAAGTTACAAGAAAGGGACCATAACAACATTGCCAAAAAAAGTGTCCAATATATATAATTCCTCGCAAAGATTAATTATTGTTTAGGCGTAAATACCAAGCATCCCTTTGGTAACCTTTCAACCTAATTAATGGAAGAATGAAGAATTTTTTGATATTCATTGTCTTATATATAGAACTTGCAATTATAGCAAAATGGAGGTGGGTGGAACTTTAAGAAAGTTTGAGCATGAAGATGCAGCAAAAGCTAAATAAAAAATTCCAATTTTTTACTATTGTTGTTCTAAAATAAACTAAATTCTAATTTCTTTGAACCCATTTCGTTCGATGAAGGTTTCATCGGATTGACGTAAATTCCGAATTAATCAAACCATCCGTATAATAACGAGGGTAGATGATTAAAATCATTGTGACCCATAATATCAAACTTCCACCATTTGTATTTATGATAAATAAATCTATCAATAATTTTGAATGTGAAATATTATAAATTCTACTAACCGCGTCAGTACAAATAACTAAAATACCGATGCTTGTCATTAAAGTTCCAAATATCAAGTATTTATTCATTTCAATGAAATATTGAATTCGAATGATTGCCCATTGTCCTGATGGTGAACCTTGATTCCGTATATTTATAAGTAAATTCTTCAGCCTTTGTTCATTTCGAATTCCAAGCAAGAAGATAACAAATAATTCGATAGCGTAAATCAATTGAATAACATTTTCAACGAGTATAATATCTTTATCCGTAAGTCCTCTCGCCAATGGGAAGATAACCATAGAAGTAAAGACCCAACCGATATAAAATTTAAATTCCCAAGATTGCATAAAAGGTCTACCTCCTATTTGATCGGCCAAATGACTCCAAAATGCCTGCAAAAGAGCCAAAGTACCGGTTTGAAAAGCAAAGCTACAGGCTAATATATATTCTGTAATTTGCTTTAATAATATATGTTCATTCGACCAAGCCTGTACTCGTTGACCGTCAACAAGGTAAAATGGTGGTTTGGAAATTATTATACCCGACGTAGTATCTACCATATCACCTTCCTTGTATTTTAAATACGTCCATGAAATATCAAATATCTAAAGGACACAAATATATTTATATATATTATTTTCATATTATTGACCAGATAAAAGAGATCCAGGAAATTGAATGAACAACTTACAAATTGAACAGGCAACATCAAGAGAATTAATAATGTTATGTTTGACTTTAAATCGAATTTACGTATCCTATACCATCGTAAACAAGCAAATCTATCGGCTGACCATACCCGCTGGAGAAACCATAACCAAACCCACCCTTCTATAACTGCCCTCTCTAAAACGTATATAATGTAACTTTAGCGTTCTGAAATTCATTTCACAATGTAATGAATTTGAAAGAAAGGATAGGATGCCTTACCAATAAACGAGAAATCACTTAAAGTATGTTGTAAAACCATTCTTTGATTTTAGTTTTGCCGTTAATATATTTTTTGTTATTGTTGTTGTTTATTGAAAATTTATTAATTCTTGAATTATTACGGAATTCTGTCTTTTTATTGTTTTAGGCATAATATAAAATATTTATACGAATTTTTGTTTGATTTTTTCAATACGTTATCAGAAATACATCGTTTTTAATTTATTTATTTGATAGACAGATCGGATAAATTGAGTATAAGTTTAGTAATTTTTCGCCGAAATTTCTTTCAATTTCTTTCGGACATTATCAATAAGATTACAATATTTATAAAAATAAAAGGATCATACCTTTGAATTTAAGCAATATTATGTAATTTAATATAGTATAAAAGTCGATTAATTCCCAAAATTGTGTCCTTTTCCCGATATTTACTCAAATAACATGGCAATCGGAAAATCGATGATTTTTTGTAAGTGATGATTTTACCATTTTACTTTCAGACATGTTGGAAGGATCAAAATTACCTAATTTTTTTAAAAAATATGATTCCAACGTAATATTAGTAAAAAACATGAAGGTACAATAAAAAAAAAAAAAAAATTATTTTCCATTTTTGAATTGAGTTTACTTTTTGAGTTTATGCAACCCTTACAAAGAATGATATTCGATAATTTCGAAGATTAGAATCTCTATTTGAATTTCGAACGGATTCTTTACTTATAGCGACTAACCTAAAATACCATATATCTGACTTTTTTCATATATTCCGAAAGATCATCAAAAAAAGTATGCGCGAAATTGAACCAGCATATGTCGTCAAAATTCATTACCCTTTTATGAAATGATGATCAACCCATCGGTCACGTAAAAAAAAGGATGAGAGATGATTCGATGAAAATTGTCTTGGTAATTACTTTCCGAAGTCGAGATTTTCCCCTTTTTTACCGATCCTCTCATATGTTGATCACATGTGGAGCTGTAAACATTTTTAAAGTTAATAAACTGAAACGACTCAACTTTAATTTGACACTGTTCAAAAATGCTTGTCGTTCAAAACGTGATCATGATTTGTGTCAACGAAAGTGTTTTTGGTTATTTTCTTCCTTTTTATTGAATGTCTGCGAAGGTGACGCTAGGTATTGAAACAGTAATACTCAATTGCTTGACCAATGAATTGTTATGAGGGTGGAAAGCGTGCAATTTTTCATAATTAAAGAAGTCGACGGAAGTATCGCGATTATCGTGAAAAGATAAATATAATGACTTGGTTCGTCATGATAATATTTACTTAAATTGGTTATATTTGCTTGAAAATGGAAAATAAAATCAAATATACGAGTCCCATATGAACTTATACAAAATGGAACCGATCATATTTTAACGCATTAATTTCATAATCCGGTTTTTTCATTATATTCATAATAAATTATGTAAATAATGAAAAAAAAAAATTTATTTTTGTAATCATTAAAATTAATTTGTTGAATCTCATTTTCTGAAAATCTTTTTCAAAGAGATGTGTAGCTTGAAACTCATTAAATTGCGTTTCTAATATCTCCGAAAGGATTTTCTTGATTTTTGTTCTTTTAATTCATCATAACGTTGATTCTTTGATCTTCGAATGGGTTTCAAATTTAATAAACAACCTATTTGTGTAGATGAAATATATACAGTATAATAAAATAGACTCTAATTATATACAATACAAAATATAATTTATAAATTGAATTTTTCATGTTGAAAATAATCATCCGTTAATTACTACCCGTTCTTTCTAATTTCTAACTTCATTCGGTAAAGACGGAATCGAAATTATCCGTCCGCTTAATAATTTAAGAATTTCTGTCACAAGTATTATTTAATATCTGTCAGCTTTTTACTGTATTAATGTATATGCATGATAACCAAATGGAAGTTCCTTTGAATTTTTTTTGATATATTTGTGAAGATTTTCTAATGATCGTATTAAGATGTAATAACTCACTAAATTTTATTTAAGCGCAAGCAATTCTTAATATTCACAAATTGGTCGTTGATATTAAATAAATTGTATATTCAAATATTCATAATATAGCTTTTGTTTACTTATCTTTATAACGATAAGCTATAAAACTAATATAATACATGAAACGCAGACATTAAAATTAGAAATATTTTTTATGCTATAATGTTAATGTATCGTATAAAACTATTTATATACTAATTTGATTTAATGTGTATGAATTTTTCATAAATTAATAATTATATATTCAAAAGTTAATCTTATTGATTGTATTTTATAATAAATAATAGTACTTTATTTTATAATATTATTTATCTTTTTAAAATGAATTTTTATGTCTTTGATTTCTAATAATAGATCAATAATTATATAACAAGTATATTATTTTCTTATTATATTAATTTGTTTAATTTATTATTAATTAGTTTAGAGTAAAACAAAGGACTATATGAATGCTTTGCAATAAAAAAAAAGAAAACTCAAAAAAAAAGTTTTTTTAAATTAATGTTTATCTAAACGTATTTACTAAAATTATTTTTAGCGTATATAATAAAAAATAAAATCCTCTCTATAAATATATTTTTGATATAAAATATCCTATCAACTACTCTATTAATTATTAATCAATGCTTAATTAGACCATTATATATCATGAATACCATAAAGTTCTAAACATAAGCATACTTTAAAAAATAAGCACCTTCTGATTAGAATATTATCCCAAAATAAGTATTCTATTAACGATTATATAATACAATCACAAAAAAACATAATTTGATCAAGATTACTTGCCTAAATTTCTTTAAAATTATATAATTAATTTTAGCAAAATTTATATAATTTTATCATAATTTTTTCAGTTTTAGTATTACTATAATAGTTTCAGCACTTTGCTATTTTAACAAGTGAAAAATCCTCTAATTTTAGAAAGCAACCTTAAATGTGATATTTAAAGTGGCTTTATTAATTATTTATTGAAATAAAAATGTGAAATTAACAAGTATCATTATTATAAATTATTAATAAAGATAGTTCTTATAATTATTTTTAAATTTTATTTGAATTGCAACTTAATTGCAAGAGTATGTATATAAACTGTACTGTATGATTAGGTGAACTGTACTATACAAAAGTAATTATAAATAATCATATTTTATTATATGATAATCAAAAAGGTATACAATGAAATATCATTAGTTACAATCACTTTTTATCTTAATTACAATATAAGTTATAATACAATTACAATATTTTTAATAATTATAATGCTATCTTTAATTATAAATATTATAAATATTATCATTAAAATATCTTTATAAATATCTTTATTATCAATAACCAATTTCTTATTATTCAAATTTTCTAATAAATTTATTATATTACAATTTACAAAAATATTAATAATAATTTTATCATAAATTTTTTATTTAATTACAATTATCAATATATTTAGCTAGTTTAAGATTTTTTGCAACAGTTATTTTAGCATCATTATTCATTATTCATAAGTGATATTTATTGTATTAAATAATTTGTTAATGCTAATCTTAAGTAGTTAATAAATACTAATCAATTCTTTTAGAATAGCTACTGAATTAATAGTGTTATCACAATTTTATTTTTCTAATTTTTTCTAATACTCATTAAAAAATTATAAACCATTTTAGTTAAGCTTTAGATTAATTATTATTAAAATAATTGATATATTTACTATTAATTAAGTATCTATCCAATTGATATTCTGAAATAATATATTATATTAAATAGAATTTACTTAATATATCCTATTACTTTCCTTTAAAGATATAATATTTTTATTTTATCTATATAAAATAAAAAAAAGATTAAAAAGTTGAATGAAGATAAAATTAAAAAAAAAAATAAAAAAAAATAAAAAAAGTATTTTTATTAAAGATGGTACAGCAATTGATTTCAAATTTACAAAATATTGCAACATAAGCTAAAATTAGTTGCAACATATATTGCAACATTATAAGTTGCAACATATATAGGTAAAACTAATTGCAACGTAAGTTGCAACATTAAAAGTTGCAACATATTAATTACAGTTCCCATCTTTAATTTTTATTAATGATATAAGTAAAAATAATAGTAAAATAATTTTTATAATTATATAATTCTTAAATATAAACAGTCTTTTTACATATTAGTTAATATTAAAGTTACAGTTCATACTAAAGATTTTTTAATATTAAAAATAAAAGATATTTCATAGAACTTTTCAATTATAAAGTATTTAACATATTAATAAAATCTTTCAATAATTTTTAGAGTTTGATGTTATTTTTATGTCATCATAAAAATAATCTTTATTTTATAAAGGCATATATATAATCACTAATTTGATAAATAAAAAACATTTATTATATTATTATAAAGAATTATGAGATTTAATTCTTTTAAAATATCTAATATTTTAATTTAAATAATAGTATAAGTGACTGCTAATTCTTAGTTTTTTATTCAATTATCTAATTATAAAAACTTTTTAACTTTAGAGTAAAAACCTTTTGATAAGAATTAATACTCATATTTTTTCTATTTATTTTATCTTTATTCTAATATACCATTTAATTATATTTTTAATAAGTATAAAATAAGTTGTTATACTTTTTATATATTTATTAATTCAAAATAAATTGCTTTACTATTTCTTTTATGTTACTTTGTTTATTTGATAATATTTTTTATTTGCTCAATAAAATATGTTAAATGAATAAAGTATATTTTAAAACATATTTAACAATAATATTTGATAACTTATTAACATTTTGGTATTTTATATTATTAATTTATATTATTATTTTTATATAATTAAATTTAAAATAAAAAGTTTTTAAAATGCTTAAATAAATATTATATATAATTAATATTGCTAAATAAAATCTAGAGTTTAGCTAAACATCTAAATAATAAAAATAAAATTTGATTAAATTATATTAAAATCTTATAAAAAATCAGAAAAGATAAATTTATATCAAAGCTTATAAAAATAGACTTCTTAATAAATATAA